TCTTCGCTGCTGGCTGAGATTAAACCACGACAGTTACGGAAGAGTTTATCACAAAGAACATCTGAACACCATCATTAGTGAGACGAATATGAAAACAGACACAGGATCGTCATGTGGACGTAGTTGAAGAGAGGTACACCAGTACATTTAAGAAGGCAGTAGGCAAATAAGATGGGTTTATAATGTGCTTTCAAAGACTCTTTTAAACTTTTTAAAAATAATACTGTTGTTGTAGCCATGGCAATTGAAAGCACAGATGAAATTTTTTGTGACATATATTCTAATTTTTACAAGATCAACTGATACCGTCTGGAGGGGAAAAAAATACAAGCTTCGCAGTCTCAGGTCCATTTCTAAGATTTATTTCAGATGTGTTGAATGCTTTCTTAGTCTAAAAAAATCGGTTTTCTCACACAGCACGTAGCATTCAATTCTTGTTTTAGGCACTCAACACTGTAGCAAATCAGTAACTTGGATGAAGAATGATGTCTGCTTATGACATATGCAAATGGTTGCAGATTTTTTTTAAAGGACAGGTTACTAGAAGAATAAATAAACTGCACAATTTCTCCCAGTAAATAAAATTGTAGAGATTATTAAGAACCTTCAAATGGAAGGTACAGATGTGGTTGCCTGTAACTGTGTTGCATTGCTCCTTTGGGGCATTCAGTAAAATGTTTTTGCTGAAAACCTGCAAGGGGCTTGACAAACTTCTGCTCCACATTTTAATCATAACAGGAAGAACAATTTCCAGTATAGAATATAAGCTAAGCTGAACTTTAATGGGCAATAAAATGTGGTTTCAAGTAAAATTTGCATTGTCGAGAAGTGCCTGCTGACTAATTTTTTCTTCCCTATGTGACTATCAAATTCCATTCCTTCAAAGAAACCTGTTTCTAGGTGGGAGACAGTGCTGTCCAACATACATAAATCCCATTCTTACACCCCTTCCCACAGGGCTGGAGTCAACTTTAGGGAACTAAGTGTTCATTCTGTTTCCTTATTCCAGTAGCACTGACTTTCTTGTTCTCTCCTGAATCACCACTGTTTTAACACAGAAGAGTTTAAACAAAATAAATCCTCAAGCATCTTTCCTGAAGTCACTTCAGAAAGCGCAATCCCATCCAAAGAATCCTTGGCCAAACTGGATCTAGCAGAAAGACTGGCTTGCTTCAGCTTAACAAAACAAGGTCTGAAAGCTGATATGCATGGTCTCACACGCTTGAGGCAATCCCAAAGAGATAGGAAATGTTACCAGTGCTGAAGGGTAGCATTGGCTCAATACTAAGTGGACATGAAACAGGACAGATACTGAAACGAAATTCTAAGCAACGATATAATTATTTGTGAAACACACTTTGAATACAAGAAGAAGTGAACACTGGTTTTCATATCATAAATCATACAAATGCTGTCATACTGTATGACAGCTTGTGACAGTAGAAGACAGGACAAAATGATCAAGAAAACTGGTTTCTAACCTCTGTTTGTAACACATTTCAGGATTCAGGTCTTCTTTACAGAAAAACAGGAAAGAGATGCTGCATTACCATTCCTATCTTTTCAAAAGCTTCAGGGTGCAATGTATTATTTAAATAGCTCATTACTTAAAATTTGAAATAAATCTGCAAGTGCCTTTGGAAGATTTTGTTTACACCTTAAATGTTAAATTTTAAATTAGTCAAAAACCTCTAAGGAGTAGAGAAGTATTTCCAAGGCTTTTGCTTTAAGAGGATACAGGGAGCTCTGCTATGCCATATTTTTGTAGTTTTGCAGACTGCTGTTAACAGAGACTTTGAGCAATGTCAACCAACAAGATCAAGTTATTAATTTTTTTGAATATTCTTTTTTACTGGAGTAGTCATGCATCTTAGAGCAGGATCCATTCGGTAGCTACTGATGGCTATTAGCCATCGATGCTTTCACTATAATCAAGAGACTGAAGAAAGAGTTTGAAAGAGAGCAGGCATGAGGATTACTCACTTATGAGCCCAGCAAAATCTATGAATGTCACACAATCCAAGGTCTCTGTACTTGCACTCAAGAAAGAAAACTTCCTTTTGTAACAAATATTCTTTCCAGACAACAGATGACTAAACAAACTGGATGCAGAACAGCTCCAGAAAAATTCTTCTGCAAGAATCCTCACGGCCTGTTGCAGATGACTGGGAGGCAGAATGATCAAGTGAGACAAAACCAGTAACGAAAGCTCAGCCAAGAGTCTATAAGCTATACAGAGACTTGCCCAAAGTTCAGCTCAAAATCTGTGAAAAAAGAGGCCACAGTGTGGCCTCCATCTGTAAGAAATATGCCACTTATTACAAGTTTAGTGTTTAAGTGTTAAGAACATAAAGTAATAGTTGTGGTTTTAAGCTATGTTCATTGAAGGGCTTTACGGTACTCTAACCTCAAGAACACTGCCCACAGTGTTGGTAGCTTAACAGAACCTTAAAATGTGCACGTCATATTTTTCTAATGCTGCCAGTATACATAGTACTTCTACATTAATGAAACTTACAGAGAGATAACTTTGCAAATTATTTTACCTACTTGAAACTAAGAATGGATTGCATAACATATTTTTAAACTTTCCACTTATTTGTGTGAACATGTTTCTCTTCCAGTTTTAACATGACAAATACTTACTCTTTTTCATCAAGTTCCTAGCTGCCAAACTGATTAATTTTATAATTTTAATTTTTCTTGAGAAGGTTTAGCCAGCTAGCAAAAACAAAAAAAACCAACCCTAATGCCTCACAGAGGAAAGAGTTCAGACACACCAGCTTCTAGAAATTATGCACATAAATTAACAAACAGAATACTTATATAGTTAATGATTGCATAACCACAGTATGTAGTATATCGATAGTTAATGATGACATAGATAACTTTACCTGCAAAATTTAAAACTCCTTTAACTTTATGATGGCTTGGTAACAATTTAAAAAGGAAAGAGTTTCAGAAATGAAATTTATTGATCTATCAATCTTGCTTTAAGATAATGAATAGGATAAAAAGAGGTGAAAAACAGTTGGTGTAGTTAGAGAGGACAGAAAAGGGGAACAATTAATATCTCTGGCTGCAAACATGACAAAAGCTGTGAAGTCTTGGGGAGAAGGGAGATGACTTTGAGGAAATCATGTTAGCCTACAATGTACAAAAATCACAATTTATACCAGCTATGCCTTTCATATGTCTTGATTTTCCTTATGGTCTTTAACTTGATTAAGCATTTGAAGAACCTCACATAAAAGGAAGGGTAGAGGGATATGTCCAATTTTATCTCCTTTTTACTATACCCACATTAAGAACAATACTTATTCATATCACTTACAGACAAATAGCCATCACTTTGGTCCCACTTACCACTGGCTGATTGCAAAGGTAACGGCAAAGCTCCCCAATGTATTGTACGACAGTCACATTGTACTTTTTGCAGTCACTCCAAAACTGACTAGCTGAGAACTTCTTCTTTAACACACAGGTTGCACCTTTATGGAAACAGTAGAAAAGGAAATGAAGCAATTTCTCTATATGATAGCTTAGCTAGCTATGTTTACTGTTTCTACAAAATAGAACATCAGAGGAACTAAGACCAGCCTCACTCAGAGAGCTGTGTGGTATTTAAGCTGTTTTACTGTCTGCATTCAAACCTGGCAGACAAAGAAGGGAGAGGAACCCAGCCCCCTTGCTGAAACAGTAAAGCAATAGGTAAGAGGTTAAATGCAAGAAACAGCTTCTGTTTGTTGGTGTCATAACATTATCCAAAAGAGTTCAACTGAAAATACCCAGAAATTTCAGCCTGAATTAGCAAATCATTTGGGTATCACTGAAACCTCATTCTTCATTAAAGTATTCACCAATGCAGATTCAGATAGAATTAATCCATAAAACAGTAATCTTTCCCTTGCTCTGACTTGTCCTTGATGCGTGAGGAAACAGGAAACGTTTGCCATCAAGTTCCAAACGAATCTTTCGTAAGAGTCATTGAGGATAGCTACACTGTCTCAGGAAAACATGTATTTTATTGTCTGTGCCAAAACAGTACACAAATTAAATGGAAGAAAAGTGGTATGTCATCTAATGATATATGACAAAACTGAATGTTTACTATAAATGTATTTGTCAGTCTTTTTAAGTTCAGCAAAATGCATTTTAGTTCTATTCCACTGTACAATGCTTAGTCTGTACATATACTAATGCACTATACACACTGCCAAAATATTACATATGCCCTTAAATTTCTTTTTGCCTAAATATAAAAGAAAATAAAAACATCTGTGACACAAAAGACTATAACTGATTTTCCTCCGATATCACAAAGAGACCTTGTGGAAATCCTTTGTTATAACAGCACACACATGCTCCCCAAAATAGAGAAATATAAAGCTATTCCAGAAGACTAATCATTTAATTTCATCAAAGCATTGGTTTCCCTAATGGAAATAAACTTAAGTGTGTTTTATGTATTTTTATATTTATTAATTCTCTATCAACAACACAATGAAATTAAACAAGCCATACCCAGTTCTATGCATCCACAGACGCCAAGAAGAGATGCTGCACTGTGATAAAGAGGCAGAGTGATATAAATGATGTCTTCTGCAGTAGCACCAAAACTCCACAGTCCAACAGCTCCTTTAAGAACCTGAATATGACTGATGACGGCAGCCTTTGGAAGACCTGTAATAAAAACACAAAACCATGCATAAAGTTCTTTTACAAATAACTTTTGTTTTTAATATAACCTGCGTAGCATCTGTAAAACCATTAAAAATCTATTTTTTCTTCTGTAACCAAATTTTCAGCCATGTGTTTAGATGGCTATTGATAGATAACTGGCTGTTTAATACATTATTGCATGTTTGTTTTGTAGACATTAAGATAAGCAGGTTGAGGGAGTTGATCCTGCCCCTCTACTCAGCCTTGTGAGGCCACAGTTGGAATGCTATGTCCAGTTCTGGGCTGCTCAGTACAAGAGACAGGAAGCTCTTGGAGTGGGTCCAGGAGAGGGCAACAAAGATGATAAAGGGACTGGAGCACCTTATGTCCGACAAAAGGCTGAGGGAGTTGGGCCTGTTCAGTCTTGAGAAGAGATGACTGAGAGGGAACCTTGTCAATATATGTAAGTATGTAAAGAATGGGTGCCAAGAAGATGCAGCCAGGCTCTTCTCAGTGGTACCAAGCAATAGGACGAGGCAATGAGCAGAAATTGATGCATTGGAAGTTCCACCTGAATCTGAGGAAGAACATTTTACTGTGCAGGTGACTGTGCACTGGATCAGATTGCCCATAGAGGTTGTAATTTTCCCTCACTAGAGATACTCAAGAGCTGTTTGGACACAATCCTGTGCCATGTGCTCTAGCATGGCCTTGCTTGAGTAGGGAGATTGGACCAGATGACCCACATTGGTCCCTTCTGTGATAAGCCGGTTTGTAACCCCATCTGTTTGTTATTTAGTCTGACGTCAATTCAAATGGGTGGAAACATGAGGAAACTCCACAGTTTGCCCGATATCAAATTATACAGAGGCAACAAAGGCCCCAAACCATTTACTTTACATACTGACTGCCTTTAACATAAAGAGGTATCACACCAGATCGCTTTCAGGCAGGAGTTAGAGTGACTGTAAGGTAAACAAGAAAGGTATGGGATCTACATGAAGTAGATCACATAATGGGTGCTTATCTAAGAATTGTACATCTACGTACTCCTATTTGTTTTGGAACACTATGAAGACTGTGAATTTCAAAGAAAAATCCACTGAAAAGTCCACTTCAGTTAGGCTCCTAATGAATTTTGGTCAGGTTCAGCATTTCTGTTCAGCATCATGCTGACTCACATGCAAGTGTTTCTTGGACTACTGCTCTGGTACCCGGTACTTTGAGTAGGGGATGTGATCTTGCTTTATATGTGTTCTCACATCCACATACAAATTTCAGGCTGAGTCCTTACGATGAACAGCGAGAACTGTTCAATGTTTAAAAAAATTAAATGGTTCATAAAGTTTTCTTACCTATTCTAGCAATGCAGTTGTTCCTCTGAAGACATAACTAGAGCTGTTAACTGAAAGTGTAATCTGTGGAGATTCTAGCTATGCTTCAAACCCCATCACACTCCAAAGAAAAGGCAATAAGCCTATGTTGCCAATGAATCATGTATAGCAAGAAGTTTCCGACAGTCTTGAGTTTACTTCTGCCTTTACAGACTGTGCAAAATATGCCTTTCTTTTAACTAAGTTTATCAGTGATTGGTTTATCAAATTGTGTGAAAATGCTCAGTTACTCAGAATTAGTTATTCCATATTCTTCAGACTAAACAAACCTTATGCTTTTAGTTACATGGGGTATAATAGAAGTTCACTGTAAATTAATGTGATATATAGAAGCATTCAAAAATATTTAAAATTCTGCATAACTGAAATTTGAGACTTCACAAAGATACTCTGCAGTTAAAAGAACAAAATCTTAACACAAGAATAATTCTATCATAATTTTTTGGCTGATTTTAACTCCTTACTTTTAACCAATGAGCTCAACCATATTTATATTAGTAGTATTACAAACATGACTCACCTCTTGAAAATATTTGTAACTTCCTGATATTTTTATTCCAGACTGATGTTCTTATTTCCTAACTTTTCCCCAGAACCCAAATCCAATAAATTATATTATTATCTGTATGATGGAACAAAGCCACAAACCACATATGCATTTAAAATCTTCTTGTGACTAAAACTGTTGTGTTCAACTGTACAAGAATGTCAATCTGCTCATCTTAACAACGTCATGCTGCTTTTCATGTCAGTGATCAGATTTTTTTTAAGCCTTAGATACTAAGTTGCTGGAGCACTGGTAATAAATTCAGACATCAGTTTCTAAACTAAAAGACCAGTGACTTAATCCTATTTTCTGTCTCTACAGTGATCTGCACAAAACATGACTTAATGGAGGAAAAACAGATGTGTATTTGTTGTTTCAAGTTTGTTTTTCTAAGTTCATGATCACAAAAGTATATCATTGTAAACTGACCAGAAAAGCAAAACATTTCATATACACCTTAGCTGTGAAGTAAGAAGAAGTAAAGGTTCGCATAGTATTTGCACAATATGTCAGGCAGAAAAAAAAAGAGGAGGAGCCCATAAACTACTGAAGAGAAACTGTCACTGACAGGAAACATGAGTGTTTTCTACCATAATGCTTTCTAAGTAAGAAACGTGACATTCTGTTATTAAAAGATGAACCCAAAGATTAGAGTTTAAGAAAAATCAAGTTTCTAGATGAAAGCTGAACAAAAACACAGACTCATTAGCAGACTTGTACCTGTTGTTCCTGAAGTAAATATATATAAAGCAGCTGAAGTGAGTTTGTTGGCAGAGCATCGATTAACTGGAACAGGATCTTCAGATGCAGCTTCTATTTTGTCTAACAGGGTATTCACACTTGTAAAAGTGGAGTCGTTGGTCATTATCCAAATGCTAACATCTTTTTGAAGGTTTGGAAGAAGTCTTTCCACTGTCTCAAGTAAATCTTAAAAAATAACATGAAATAGTATTACATTATGTCTTCACAAAATTAAAATAGTTTTCCTCTTAAAGTTTTACTTTTTATAATAGCAAGAGAAATGAAAGTCATCTCCATGGATATAAATAGAGACAATAAAATAATGATGAACTAGAATGAAAATTCACTGAAAACAGGATATAATATAACAAAAATACTACTGACCCCACACAGTCTAATTGTCAATTACCTCTCAAGGCAAAATTGTCAGCCTTGATTACTAACTCCTGCTTCATACATAACTTTAGATAACTCTTAGCCATTGCTAAGATGAGAATGATGTATGGTTAAGCTTCAACATCAAATAAATAATGAAGAAATCCATTGAAGATGCAAGGCAAATATATACATAACTGGTAATTAAAGTGCAGGTTTCTCTGGATGCCCTCAAATTAAACCTTGCATTGAGAAGTTGTTTATTTTTTCAAAAACACAGAAATGACTAATTTAAAAACAAACAAACATACACACACAAGATACAGAGGCCTGAATTTCACTGAATAGAAAGACTATGCAGGCCTGTGGCTTATTCAGACACTGCCAGAGAGCCACATGGCTATTTATGTAGTGCTCTGAGTGTTCTAAAAACCTTCATGAATTAGAGTTTAGGCACATTAGACAATTCTATTTTCTTATAATCCTACGTTAATTTACTGAAAGCCATTGGCCCTTATCTGTATCCAAACACAGTTTGGAGCATTTGGATAACGCTCTCAGGCACATGGTGTGGTTTCTGGGGCTGTCCTGTGCAGGGCCAGGACTTGGACTCGATGATTCTTGTTGGTTCCTTTCACCTCAGCATATCTTGTGATTCTGCATATAAATACAAACTTAATTTTATAAAATAAAACAGCATTCTAACTAAAATCTACTTTTGGTTTATCAGAAAAGAAACAATGAGAGAGATTCCCATATTAAATGAAAAGAGAAATATAAATAGAAGCCAATCCTTAAATAATACATTTGGTACTTGTGTTTCAAAGCATTGTTACAATCTGTCACTTTTTCAGAAGACTGCACGGGCATTAAAGTACTAATCCAGGAAACTTCTCAAGAAAGGAGTAATACTGCTTTCGACAGAACTCATTTATATTTAAGTGCTTTGATACAACTCAGTCTATGTAATTTGTCTTGCAAATATCCCTGTGGGTATAAATTTATGTTATTATCTCAGTTTTTATAGATGAATAAACCAAGTTGGCATGACTCACTCAGTACCTCACAATGAGGCATTGCCAGAGGCAGTATTTGAAATCCTGATGTCAACTTCAAGCTCATTTCGCAAATATTAACTATGGATACCATTACTGGAATGCATAAATTTTACAGGAAAATAACTGAAGATTTTTAATCTTTCAGGAAACTGATTTCCTAATGACAGACTGCTGTATATACACAAATTAATAACACACTAATTTGTATTACTATTACAGAGAAATAGCCTACTGTCATCAACTCAACATGTCTTACAAACCTAAACCCTACAGAGTACAAGTTCTCTGTATTATATAGATGTTTAGCAAATATATCTGGTGGAGTGTAACATTAAAATTTTTGTATTCTAACTTCCTTGTACTGCAGAATGATTTCATGAAGGAATCACTCAAATAATTATAAAAATCTAAAAGACAGCCTCCTGTTTGAGTCATCGGAGTGCAGACCACTATGTGAATCAAAAATAATGTTAAGGGCAATAGCATTAACTGCAGAAAACCTGATGCACTGAATGTCAAGGTTTGTTGACATATTAATTCGTTCTAGCCATCCTATAATAGAATTGTGGTATATTTTTCAAGTAATAAATGGGAAAATACAACACTACTATTTCTAAATGGCTATCAATGAAACAAATGTGACAGAATAACTGTATCTTTATTACCTTCAAACACTGATTTTTTTCTTCCTATTATGTATATATGTCTCTTAAATACACTAAGGATAGTTTGGCAAGTACAAGTTAGGCTGAGAACCTAGCAAAAGAAACAGAACTGTTAGAAGTGGCTGGAGCTTCACTTCTGTTCTCAAAAATAGTAGAATAACAGCATTATCTGTCATTCTTTATTAGTGCACTGGCTTGAGCTACAATACCAGCAAAGGTTTTAAGGACTGCTAGGAATTTCTTGGCTTCTCCAGCCTTCAGTAGTTATTTGAACCAGACTTGGCTGCTCATCCTGTGTACTCTCCTTACCAGGTAACAAACATGATGTACAAACATTGAAGAAAAACTGTCCAGTAAAAGTCATCATGCAGAATTGTCCTATGTAACTGAAGTGTAATCATAAATGACATTTCACCTATTGTTTAACTGAAAACTATCCTCCTGCAGAAGACCTGGCAAGAAAAACAAAACCTCAGTGAATACCACCCTATTTAAGTAACACAGAAACCAAAGGGATCATTGCATCACCTCCTTATTTTTGATAGGTAAATTCATTTCTTCTTGCATTTCCTTAAATTGTTTTGCTTTTTACATTTTTGAAAGTGAAGATGAAGCTTTACTACAGAGTTCTGCAGAATACGTTAAGTCAAAATCAATCCCCCAAAACTGAAGTACTACGGAAGACTTGCATCTGAAGTTGGAAAAAGCACTCAAAATATCAGAGCATTATCAGACCAGAAGAAAGTCTGATCCCAAGTGCTGAAGCACAGACAAGATGATACTAATGGACAGGGTTATCAAATCACAACCTCTGAAAAATATGCAGACATATCACAAAAGTGAAGGGTACAAATTCAGCAAATCAGAGGGATCTTGCAAGAGGCATTATGCAAAACTGAACAAGGCATGGAAGAAAATACAACCATAAAAGGCATCCAGAATAAAGGTATTGCATTTGTTTAAAAAAAAAAAAAAAAAAAGCATTTTTGAAAATGACAAGATGTATTGAAAGAAGCTGCAAGATGCAATCAGGTATCTCTCACAGAGGGACACTACACCGCCATTCTGAGCAGAGAAGATTTAGCAAAAAACCAGTTATCTGTGGGAACTGTTCTAGGTAGCAGATGAACGTGGAATGTTCCCTTCAGCACAAATGAAACCTTAATATTAAGTAGATTCAGATACAGGTTCCTGTTTTAATGTGCCATTACAGACAAGAATTTCAAAAGCAAATTTGGTTTTGCTGAGCACAGGCAGTTAAGCATCCATTTGTTAAGGGGATGACTTCTGCTTTGCTGTGGTCTACAAATAAGGTGATCTAAAACATTGAAATACAGTTTTATAACTATTATGAGCAATCGAATTGCTAAGTCAAGCCTGTATGTGTTTGTGGAGGCTGGAAAACTTACATACTTTTGAAAATTAGAACTCCCACTATGCAGAAATACTGCCATTACATACTCATCTCTGATTAAAGAAACCCAATCTTATTAGCCAAACATGATGCCTGACTATAACAATGACAGATTAAATCAGAGGTTGATTGGTTTTAGTGTAAATATTTTGAAAAAATATACTATGCTCAAGCTATGAACATTCCCTGTGAAAACACACATTAACCCTGGATGGAAAGATGTTTAACAGACCTCTGACCATTATGTAACTGGCTGTGTAACCTCAGTGTCAAACACTGTTCTGTAATCTTTATAAGTATTAGGGGAAAATTATTATGTAATAATAATGAGGTACAGTATGTTTCTTTCAAGAGTGGTATGAGTTAGTCCTCACAGTCACCAGGCAGTGTATAAACCTTCAGTTGCTAAACCTGGACCCGTTTGGAGAAGTTGTCATACGATGTAGACAATAGCCAAAGACCTAACAACTTCAACTTCTTTCACAGATACAAATGAAAGAGTTCCTCTAAATCCTGAAGAAGAATACTGCATAGGCTCGTGGGACTGACAAATTTATAGAGACTTTACAGACTAAAACCCATTAATAAAGTAAGAAGACCAACATGCAGGCAGACTAATCTGTTAGTATCTCTCATATTATCTGTCTGTATATAGCTCAGCTCTTGTGAGCAGAGACAGGCACCCAGAACAACCTAATTCCACATATTTGCTGTTAATACCAGCTGCTGGTAGCAAATTAAGTGGAGATACACA